ATTCTAGTGTTATATCTCCTCATTCAAAGGTTTAAAGGCATTTCTAGCATTTTTGTTGGTCATGTCGGGTATTGAGCATGATCTGAAGTTGTAACTTCAGATCTAGACCCCTTTAAGCCCTTATAGTCATAAAGTTCACGAATTTATCATGCTTTGGCCCTTCTCTTTGGCTTAAAAATATTCCTTAGCTTGGTTTTGGCATTTAAGACCTTGCATGCACGTAAAGTTTACAACTTTACGTGGTAACTATTCCCTAGGAGGATAGATCTATGATTTGGAGCCTTGGTCTTGCTCAAAAGCATCTAAATAAGAAAAGGATTGAAGGGACTCGACGAGTTGCATGGTGTTGGGTTAGTGTGTGTTGTGTCATTGGGCTTAACATCTATGTTTGTTTTGAGTCCCGGATTGGGCATGTTCATCCGTGGTTTATTAATTAGGGTTAGACTATTTATAAAGCATGCATGTATAGCCTTCGTAATTAACGTTTTCATTAATTGCTGCATTGTAACCCTAAACACCTCTACAGTAGAAGTTCTTAATCGAGCTCTTCTGAGGTGATAAAGTTTAATCATTCGACATCGTTTGAGCCATTCTTGTGTCTTAATATCATTTTTCTTGTTTTTCTATTTAGAATCTATCGATCATACTAGAATTTTATCTTAACAATTGGTATAAGTGCGGGAGACTGTGTAACTCATACGCATTCCTTCTGTTTGAAGAACACTTTAGGGTTTCCATTTTTATCGAACATATAGAAGCCGTCTTCCTTCTGTCAATGGTATCTCTATTGTTTGATAAAACCCTAATCTCAAGTTTACAAGTCTGATTCTAGCAGAATTAAGGAAAGGCTCATCATGTCTCACGACGACTCTCAAACCAATCCCATCAACATCTCCAACAACATTGGTTCCACTACTAGGGTTCCCAGTCTCTATACTCAAGACTAGGGATGAGTATTAGAACCGTCGGAACCGGAATCGAAATTGGTAATAGGTCCGGTTACCCTAGGGTCAAATGATTCGGTTCATATGATTTCACTGGCTGATCTACCGAACCTGAATCCCCATGATTGGATTTTGCTGTACAACATTCTACTTTCCAATCCACAACAGTATGAGCCGATTATTGATCATATCAAGAGAATTTCAGCTTCCTACATTCACGAGGTTGCTAAGATGGATCATGAGATTGCTCATGTTTTGAGAAAAAGGACAACAATCAAACCCCTTAGGACTCCGTCTGATGCTACAAAGATGAAGATGGGTAAGATTTATTCAAAATGTCATGCTATGATGTTCACTCGAAATGAAGGACAGAAGTTCGTGTTCGGACTTGATGACAAGCATCTGTTCTCAACAACTTGCTTGGAGCATATTCTAGACATCATTCATAGTTGTAAACAGAACGAAGCAGCAGATAAGAAGAATTTCACAGAAATGCTTCGGTGGTACATAGATGTCCGTCATGCTCTTCTTGACATCATACTGAAGATATTAAAGACTGTGAAGAAGGCCACTCTTGCTCAACCTATTTGATCTCTCGCCTCAATTGACGCAAAGGGGGAGATTGTTGGGTCTAGGGTGTTGCATCTTTGGGCTCGTGTTATAGTCCATCATGTACTCACGGTTTGGGCCTGTGTAGCCGTGTTTTGTCTCTAGGTTAGTATATATAGTGCATGCAGACATAGTTATTGTTACGCTTCTCATTTATTGTTTTGCTATTATTGCACTATAACCCTATCACACCTCTATAGTCGAAGTTCTTCATCGAGCTCTTCAAAGGTGGAGCATATTTTAATCATTCGGATCTCGTTTGATTCATTCTTGTGTTCTTTTCTTACTTAATATTTGTTTATCTGTTAAGAATCTGTCGATCTAATAGCGCAATATTCTCATCAATTACTGTTTAGAGTGAGCTGGAATCATAAGTGGAAGAGCCATCAATGACTAAATTTGTAATCTACTTTATTTTTAATTATATAACTAGCTAAAAATGTATTTTGTTAGTAAATTAAGTTAAAAGTGATAATTACGTAATTTCACAATTAACTCCATTCTCCATTATAAGTTTTCTTTCAACATTTCTTTGCTTTTCTAAATTTGATTATTTAATCCTAAATACAAATGATCAAAATCATGCTCACGTCTTCGCCTCCATGTATTTAGAATTGATGCAGCAAAGATCTCTTATTTTGCAATGGCCAGTGTCGCTGCTGCCATACGAAATATTTTCAAATTTTTAAAAGGTTTGTTCATTTGATTAATTAGCTAATGACAATAATCAATTACAAATAATATGTGATTTGTGTGAATTGCCATAATATTTTAGTAATTAATTGGAAGCAAGACTATAAGTGTATAGAGATTCACATATAAATCACAAGTGAATAACATATGATTCACATGTAATTCACATATGAATCGCATTTAATTCATATGCGATTCACTTGTGATTTACATGTGAATCACATGTAATTCATACATGTGATTCACATATGAATTACATGTGATTCACATGTAGATTCACATGTAGATTACATGTGAATTATATATGATTCACATGTAAATCACAAGTGAATCATATATGAATTACATGTGATTCATATGTAAATTTTTAAAAGGTTCGTTCGTTTGATTAATTAGCCAATGACAATAATCAATTACAAATCATATGTGATTTGTGTGAATTGACATAATATTTTAGTAATTAATTGGAAGCAAGACTATAAGTGTATAGAGATTCACATGTAAATCACAAGTGAATAACATATGATTCACATGTAATTTACATATGAATCGCATTTAATTCATATGCGATTCACTTGTGATTTACATGTGAATCACATGTAATTCATACATGTGATTCACATATAAATTACATGTGATTCACATGTAGATTACATGTGAATTATATATGATTCACATGTAAATCACAAGTGAATCATATATGAATTACATGTGATTCATATGTAAATTACAAATGAATTACATGCGATTCACAAGTAACCACAAGTGAATAACATATGAATTAAATGTGATTTACATGTAAATCACAAGTGAATCATATATGAATAAAGTCTATATGGAAACATGCATTTTGTGTGAATGTTCTTCATTATTTATTATTTATTATTTTTTAATTTTTTTTTTGTGAATTTGACATTTAAATCTTAAAAGATACAATCACATGTAAATATCACATTATATAATCACATGTGAATTTTGCATGATATATACACATATGCATTTTTACGAGTGTTCTTGAATTAATCAAACTTTTTAAAATTTTCTTGTAGATTTGAAAGAATTTGTGAAAAATATTGAAGATGTGAAAAGTGGTGAATTGAAGAAAAATATGGAAATCTTGAAACGAAGACATGAAAATTCTTAGAAAATTTGTAGTATTTTTTTTTTTTAAATTTTATTTTGTATCAAACAAAATACTTGTACTATTATGTTTATAGATTAGTAAAATAAAAATGGTTTATATATATATATATATATATATATATATATATATATATATATATATATATATATATATATATATATATATATATATATATATATTATAAATTATTTACGAATATTAGAGTATAAAAATTATGATATATGCACTTGAAAAAAAATACATATATGCACCTAAAACGTCGATTTTTTTGGTTAAAAAACATTATATTTTTTTATTTAAATGCTCCAGTTTTTTTTTTTTTTTTTTTTTTTTTTTTTTTTTTTTTTAAGTTTACAGATTTTTAAAAATTTACTGTTTTTATATAAAATTGCATATTTTCTAAAAAAAGTATTTTTTTTTTCATTTTTTTAAAAATCATGCTTTCTAAAAAATTTGAAAAAAATACATTTTTTAAAAAAATTCGAAAAATAATACTTAAAAAAAATCTGAAAACTTAATTTATTATGTTAATTTTTAGACATTTTTATTAATGTTTCAATAACACAAAAGATAAACATTAATTGAGATTGGTAGGATGACTATCATGCCATTAATGAGTTAATTTTAATCTAACGATCAACCTTTAGTTCTTAGGTTCTCAAGAAACTATGAGTTCTCAACATATCTCACCCATATATATATATATATATATATATATATATATATATATATATATATATATATATATATATATATATATATATATATGTTCAGGTTTATTTGAGACCATTCTAATTTTGTAAGATCGTGAGACCAAATCGAAAAATAATTTTAAAATGCAAAATAAATGGAAAAATCCAAAAATTCTTTTTTTAAATATTATTTTCGGAACTTGAATTAACTAAAAAATAAAAAAATATATAAAAAAAATAAAAAACATTCCGTTTTTTTTGAAAAATACGTAAAATATTCTAAATAGAATATTACACTGACATATTCTAAAAAATAATTTTAAAATGCAAAATAAATTGAAAAATCTAAAAATTCTTTTTTTAAATATTATTTTTGGAACTTGAATTAACTAAAAAAATTAAAAAAAAAAATTATATATTTTTTTTAAAAATACGTGAAATATTCTAAATAGAATATTACACTGTACATATTCTAAAAATAATTTTAAAATGCAAAATAAATGGAAAAATTAAAAAAAAAAAATTTAAATATTATTTTCGGAACATGAATTAACTAAAAAAAAATAAAAGAATGCGTCTCACGGTCTCACAAAATATAGGTGGTCTCAAATGAACCTAACCCTATATATATATATATATATATATATATATATATATATATATATATATATATATATATATATATATGTCAATTTCAAAAATCCATAGATCATTGGCTCCTATATATGTAAGTAAAAACTAACCACTAGAAAAGGCCCTATCCTTTGAACCAGATAAAATTCTAGTTTAGGGAGATGTTTGGATTTGGGGAAAAAGAACATCCATGAATTTTTTGTTAAACCTTCTTCATAAATCATAAACAAACTATGTATAAACCCGAACAGAAAAAAGAAAAAACGATGCCATGCTTTTATGCTTATTCCATCTTTGGGGTGAATGTTAGATGAGCCACTCTTCATAAACATTTAAACTACTAAGCAATGATTAACAATGACATGAAGTAGAAACAATTACAAAAGCATCCCATTCAAATAATCTTAGATTGTTTAATTCTCTGGTGTTTCATCCAACTAGCTAGCTTCAGCTACGGATTCAAATAATAAAAAATCCCACAATTATCGAAGCAATTTAAAAAAGTCAGACTTAGAAAAGAACCATATATAGATAGATATGTTGATCTCGACTAATTCTTGATTGGAGGAGGCTTTCTCAACTTCGAAGCTTGTTCAAACCCATAAGCAATCTCTATCAATGTAGGCTCTGAACCCTTTAAACCTCCAAAACAAATACCAAACGGAGCCCCATTTTTATCGTACCCACCCGGAATACTAATTCCTGGATATCCCCCAATTGCAAGAACTGTAGAACCATATGAATACGGTGTGACAAGTGCATCCAATTTGTTTTCTTTCATCAACTTCTCAAACCCTAATTTTGATGCTCTTGTCAAGTTCCTCAATGCTTCCTTCTCCAACTCTCCAATCCCATTCGTCTTCTCAGCTTCCAAAAATATATCTTGTGGGTAGTCTTTCAGCTTTTCCTAAAATATATATGTAACAAATTAAATGGTGTTTTTTTCATACAGAAAAATTCGATTAGATGAACATGACCACATGATTTGTACTTACCACATTAGCAAATTTCTTGTTGAATGCTATCACATCTGCTAAAGATCTCACAGGTGAAGCCACTAGCTCCTTTAGATATGCATTCAGTGATATCTTGAATTCTGCAAATAGTGCTATATATACACCAAGGAACATTGGCATGATATCGTTGTAGTTTGTGACTTCAAGATTGTCAATCAGAGTAGCACCACTTTGTCTTGTTTTTAACAAATTGCAAAAGTAAGAATGTTAAGAGTTATATTTTACAAATTACAGAAAACCCCATATGTTAAAAACTTAAAATGCATACCTTAATATCATGAAATGTTTCTTGAACTTATTCAAAATTTCAGTATCATTACCAAATCCAAAATTAGGATAAGCCCTTACTATCCCTAACCTCTTTCCTTTAAGCCCACCAGATTTTAAGTGCTTCAGATAACCACCATGGGGAATATACTTTGAAGCTTTTCTTGTTGCAACTGCATCATTTTTGTCAAAACCAACAATGGCATCAAGGACATAAACAGCATCAGTTACAGTCCTACATATTGGTCTGTTAAGAGGGACAAAAACTGTTAGCAAAATCATTAAGGAATATGAATGGGAAAATTAATAGATATATTAGGTTTACCCAACTGTATCTTGTCTAGGGGAAATTGGAATGACTCCTGCTCGACTTGTGAGCCCTAATGTGGGTTTAATCCCAACAACTGAGTTAGCACATGAAGGACATAGGATTGATCCATCTGTTTCTGTACCTAGTGATACAGTTACCATGCTTGTTGCAACTGCTATAGCTGATCCAGTGCTTGAACCACATGGATCGTGGGTTGCTACATATGGATTCTGCACAAAATTCAACAACTTTTTCAAAGACGCATTTACACAAACACCTGGTGTGCTCTACTGTTTTGGTAGCAAGAAGTTATCGTAAATGAAGTAAAACAATCAAACAACTACAAGTAATAAAGCTGAATCAAGTTTATGTATTGTTTTTCTTAAGCTATGAAGGTGGGAACTTACAACTGCTTGCTTAGTTCTAGCATTCCACCCACTGGGTGCAGAGGAGCTTCTGAAAAAAGCCCACTCACTCAAGCTTGCTTTCCCGAGTATAATCGCCCCTGATTCTCTCAACTTCTTCACTACTCCAGCATCACGAGGCACCACTGACTTAAGAAGTGCGTAAGATCCTGCAGTCGTGTTAAGCTTATCTTTGGTTGCAATGTTATCTTTGACTAAAATAGGGATACCATGCAACCCAAAGCGCGACTTGGGGGCATTAGCTTTTCGCTCTTCATCAGCTTTCTGAGCTTGATGAACAGCATCTGGGTTCACTTCAATGACTGCTCTGTAGATGGGATTGAGTTTACGTATCTCCTGGATGTAAAACTCAACTAAATCCTTGGACGTAAGTTTGTTGTGCTTAAAAGCTGTTCGAATCTCGTCGATAGTGGCTTCCTTTATGGTAAATTCAGAGCCTTCAATGGCGCTAATGCTCTGAAGCAAGAGGATTAACAAAAGAGTCTGAGTAAACATTGAGATCTTCAATGGTGGACCACTCTCTTTTCTGTCTAAGCATCAAAGGATTAACACCCGTTCACGAGAAAAGAAAGGAAATGGGTGGAAGCCGGAGTAAAGTGAGAGAAATTGGTTTCATTATAGGATGGAAGTGGAAGGAAATGGAGGGATCACTTTCCCTCCTAACTTTCCTTTCGATAGGATTTGGAGAGAACGAACAAAATGTTTAACTTTTCATCCATTTCTCTTCAACTCGGGAACACAAAACACAAATTTCTTTTCCTTTCTCTTATCTTCTTTTCTCTCCTTAGTTTCTTTTCTCTTCTTTCTTTTCTCTGCTACAACTCGGGAACGGGGTGTAAAATTTAAAAGGTATTATGATGGATCTAAATATCTGATAAAATATAATATCTACTGGGAAAGACAACATAATGCTTTCATGGCGCATGGATAGGGAATTTTTAGGCATCTGCTACTGCCTACTGCTCCCGTTGATGGGAGGGAATCTCAAGATGGACCGATGTTCAAACACACAATACGATATCTCGACATGATTTTATTGATAAAATATTTTTTATTTAACAAAGCTAATTACAGAAATGCTTAGTATTATTATTGAATTATGGTTTTAAAAATAAATATTGAATTATCAATATTTATTTGAATCTTTGAAATATTGATAGATTTTGTCAATTATGGTTTTAAAAAAATATAGCCACCTTCTGATCCATATATAGTCCATATAAAAGTTTTAGTTTAGAACTTGAGCAGACATTAGACTTCTCGGTGTAGTGCGGTTTGAGACCGTGCTTCCATGCCAACTCAGTATGGAACACCACCCCTAGGGTGCGGTTTGCTGCGGTCTAAACCGCGGTGCGGCCCCTCAAGACCGCGTATTCTGATTGGCTGGTCATTCTGACTGTTGAAATTGAAAGATTCTTTTTTTTTTTTTTTTTCCTTTTTTTTCTTTTTCTTTCCTATATATACACATATCAACTTAACTTTTTTATTCACAACATAATCTTCTCTATCTCTCAAAAAATATATATTTTTTTTAAATCACTACTCTCCCAAAAATGTCATCTTCTTCATCTTCTGAAGAATTTCAGACTATTTTTGATACCGCTATTGCGTGTGTTCAAATGACGGAACAAACATACAACGTTGTATGTAACAACGCAGCTGCAAGTTCTCAACAGAGAACACAAAGATACATTTACAGAAATCGTGAAGAAGCCAACCAACGTTTGGTACAAGACTATTTTGCAGAGAATGCCACTTACCAAGAGTATTATTTTCGTAAGCGCTTCAGAATGCTCAAAGGTTTATTCGAACGTATAGTTGAAGATGTAACGAGGGAGTGCAGTTTTTTCCAACAACGCCACGATGCTAGAGGTACACCCGGTTTCACTCCGTTACAAAAATGCACGGCGGCACTTTGTCAGTTAGCATATGGCATTCCGCCTGATGCGTTAGACGAAAGTTTTAGTATGTCTGCTAGGATAGCACAAGACAGTCTCCATTTTTTCTGCAAAACTGTCATTCAGTTTTATGATCCAAAATATTTACGTAAGCCTACACGTAATGTCATCTTGCAATTGCAAGCTCATCATGCTAGTGTGCATGGATTTCCTGGAATGCTAGGAAGCTTAGATTGTCTCCATTGGGCATGGGAAAATTGCCCTACAACATATCATGGGCAATTTACCCGAGGTGATCATGGTCACCCAACGGTAATACTTGAAGCAGTTGCATCACAAGATATGTGGATTTGGCATGCTTTTTTTGGTTCTCCTGGTTCGATTAACGACATCAACGTTCTTAACCGTTCACCAATATTTAACAACATATACTATAGATCCGCACCAGATTCTTCTTTTCAAGTGCATGGAACGCCATATAAGTATGGTTATTATCTGGTCGATGGAATCTATCCTGAGTATGCTGTGTTTGTTAAATTGTTTTCAGCTCCGCATGGTTCTAGACGAAAGAAATTCAAGAGAGCTCAAGAAAGTGCTAGAAAGGATGTTAAGCGTACTTTTGGAGCTCTGAAGAAACGGTGGTTCATATTGAAAAAACCAGCAGCTTATTTGGGCGAGGAAAAACTTCAAGAAATCATGTATACATGTATTATATTGCATAACATGATTATTGAAGACGAAGGAAGAGCGATATGTGCGTTTGACGAGGAAGATATCATACCAGAGACACAACCAATAGAAATTGGTGGCGAAGAGTATATAAACAGGAGAGCAGAGATACGTTGCACCGAAACATTTCACAATCTTCGCAATGACTTGGTGGAACACATTTACGAGGTTCAAAACATTAACCTTAATTTGGATCCACCGGATGACCCCGGAGATGAGTTCTCGGAGAACGACTTTATGTAGTTTCCTTTAGTTATTTTCTTTATGTTTTTTAAGTTTCTAGGGTTATTTAAATGTCATGTGTTTTTTTTTTTTGGTAACGCAATGTACTGTTTTTTTTTTATTTTCAAGTAATGAAGAATTATGTTTTTTTTTATTAAAATAGAAGGTATATTAAATTAAATTAGTTAAAAAAAAGTTTTATTAAATTAAAATACTTAAAAAAAACAAAAAAAATAAAAAAAAATGAAAAGTGTGGCAAGAAACCACACTTAAGTGGTAAAAGGTGACATGGCGCTGATGTGGTGGGGGAGGGAGTGCGGTTTCGGTGGCACCACTCCCTCCAGTCTTATTTCTAAAATTCTAAATATCAAAATATGCCCCACGACTGATTTTGGGTCAACTGGTAGGTACTTCATGACTTCAAACGGACACATATCCACACAATATCCTACATATCAAAAATTGAAACCTTTCTCCCCATCTTACTCATTTACCTGTGTCACACTCATAAAATGGCATTTGCATCAACCTAGCATTGCACAATGCCATTCCTCATAAAGTGGCAGTTGGCTATAGTTTCTGTCTGGAAAAATATTGTATAGTAAAGTACTGTTTAGGAAAGTTTTATGTGACAACATTTCAACAACCTGTCTATTTAGGAACCTAGTTCAACATCGAGCCCGTCGAGATTCATATTCACTAGTGTCAGACTCCCTCCCATTCAAACTGTGGGTAGAATATTAGATAACAAAATTTGAATTGTAGGATTGATTTGTAAAGTTAATTATTACATATCTTTTTTTAAATAATAGTATTGATACATTTTCTTTCTTTTGGGATATTTACTAGAATGCATATGCTTTAAATGCAGGATTATATAGATGCAATAATTGAGTTGTGCGTGTCAGCATCCAACCCGGCGATTGAATATTGAATAATGAAATTGTAATTTTAAATATGTTGATACTAAAAACCAATTTTTTAAAATAAAAATTATATTTATTTTGAAAGAAATTCCCTTTGATTTTATTTGTCAACTCTCGTATATATACATGTAAACTTAAACGGGTAATATAAATTATGTAATTTGTTTGCACGGGGGCCAAAGTGACAAGCTACAAGTTGACATTGAGGATAGATAGAAGAGAAAAGAAAAGTGTTTATTTAAGTATTTTAGTCCTTTTCTGAATATTGGTATGTCGGTATTCTTGTACCAAGTTCATTTTTTTTTTCTTCCAATAATGGCTTTATAAAAATGATATAGTTTAAGCTTTTTATGTTTTTTTTTTTTTTCTAAGTTGACTTATTTATATTACTATAAGCGTGTGATAGTTTAATTTTATCTATTCTAGAATATTTTTAGTAAAGGTTTCTTCTGTAACTATAGCTAAATAGAGCATATGACATCATCAAAGACGACTCAAAAATAATAATAATAATAATAACAATCTGGTGCTCATCAATGTTATATATAGATAGAGAGATAAGAGAGTATTCCAGACACACAAACCCACACACAAAAGGTTCATAAATGTCAAAAGTGCTTGTCTTTGCATGTTTGCTTGTGCTCTTCACCGCCACCTCGCCGGCGGTGAGGGGTAAATATTACTCCGACAGCCACATAGTTAATGTGCCGGCCACCATAAAGAAAACCCATCTCCACTTCTTCATGCATGACATCCTTTCCGGCAACAATCCTTCCGCCGTTCTAGTAGCAAAACCTAACGGGACGGTGGTCCAAGAAGTTAATCTCCTCCCATTTGGGGCGGTTTATGTAATCGATGACTGGCTCACTGTGGGACCAGACCCGAAATCCAAGATTATTGGAAATGCACGTGGAATGTACGCTTCAACCAGCCGTGGGTCAGACTTGACCTTGTTGTTAAGTGCTGATTTTGAGTTTACGAGTGGTGGATTTAATGGGAGTTCTATAGGTGTGTTTTCAAGGGATCCGCTGGTGGTGGCAAAGGAGGTGGCGGTGGTCGGTGGCAGAGGGAAGTTCAGGATGGCTAAAGGGTTTATCTTGCTTAATGCCGTTTACTTTAACACTACAAATGGGGATGCCATTCTTGAATGCCATGCCACCATTTTTCATTAACAAACTAAAGAAAGAAATAAGAGCTAGTAGGCCAGGTTATGGAAACCCTAGCGATGATGTTGTGATAAAGTTAAGATTATATATATGTTTCTGAGGTCTGGTTTGGGTTTTTGGTAAGAAAAAAAATTGGGTCATGTTAATTTGTTCATATAAAATAAAATTGTATGAGAGTTGTCACGTACATATCATGGAGATAACGATCCTTTACATCAAAATAAGTCAAATCATTTATGAATGATTTTGGATTAATTAATAGATTGTTTATATTGGTAATTAAAGTTTTGATTTAAACAATATTACAAAAATATAAAGTTAACAAAGTTTTTACTAGCAACGTACTTGGAAGATCATTCCTATGTAATTTCGTATAAAATAAACTTTGTTTCTAGTTTACATGGTTGATTGATTTATTATTATTACTAGGTTACCACCCGTGGAAACCATGGGTAGGATAAAAAAAAATAAAACAATATTAATAATTAAAAATGGTAATAGAAAATCAAAGATTTAAAAAATTCAATTAAATTAATAAGATATATGTTTTGTTTAGACTTCTATATTAATTATTTAGAAATAGATTGTAATAAGAAGTTAATAACTTAGCTACATTTTTTTGTTATTTTGTCAAATTTGGTCCTTTGTTAACATGGAAT